CACTTTAAAAAGGTCTTTTGCAGCAGATTTGCCCAATGCAATGCATCGATTGATTTCTTGACTACTGCTTCCATGGGCGTTGATTGTGGGTCCAAGTGAAATGAAATCCTTGACAACTTCAGTCTTTTCTGTTTATCAAGATGGTGTTTATTGGTCCCGTTGTGAGGATTTTTGTTTCTTTATGTTAATCCATACTGAAGGCTGTGGTCTTTGATCTTCATCAGTAAGTGTTTCAAGTCCTCTTCACTTTCAGCAAGCATGATTATGTCATTTGCATAACGCAGGTTGTTAATGAGTCTTCCTCCAATCCTGATGCCCCTTCTTCTTCATATAGTCCAGCTCCTTCGATTATTTGCCCAGCATACAGGTTGAATAAGTGTGGTCAAAAGATACAGCCCTGACGCACACCTTTCCTGACTTTAAAACACGCAGTATTCCCTTGTTCTGTTCGAACTACAGCCTCTTGATCTATGTGCAGGTTACTTATGAGCACAATTAAGTGTTCTGGAATTCCCATTCTTCATGATGTTATCCGTAATTTTTTTATGATCCACACAGTTGAATGCCTTTGTATAGTCAATAAAACACAGGTAAACATTTTTCTGATATTCTCTGTTTTCAGCCAAGATCCATCTGACATCAGCAATGATATATGTCATTCCACATCCTCTTCTGAATCCAGCTTGAATTTCTGGCAGTTCCCTGTCGATGTATTGCTGCAGCCGCTTTTGAATGATCTTCAGCAAAGTTTCCCTTGTGTGTGATATTAATTATATTGTTGGATAATTTCTGCATTCAGTAGCATCATCTTTCTTTGGAATGGACACAAACATGGCTCCCTTCCAGCTGGATGGCCAGGTAGCTGTCTTCCAAATTTCTTGGCATAGACAAGTGAGTGCTTCCAGCGCTGCACCAGTTTGTTGAAACATCTCAATTGGTATTCCGTCTATTCCTGGAGCCTTGCTTTTCGCCAACATCTTCAGCGCAGCCTGGACCTTTTCCTTCAGTACCATCAGTTCTTGATCATATGCTGCCTCCTGAAACGGTTGAACATCAACCCGTTCTTTTTGGTGCAGTGACTCTGTGTGTTCCTTCCACCTTCTTTTGATGCTTCCTGTGTCGTTTAATATTTTCCCTGCAGAATCCTTCAACATTGCAACTCAAGGTTTAAATTTTTTCTTCAGTTCTTTCAGCTTGAGAAATGCCAAGCATATTCTTCCCTTTTGATTTTCTAACTTTAGGTCTTTGCACATTTCATTATAATACTTTGTCTTCTCGAGCCGCCCTTTGAAAACTTCTGTTCAGTTCTTTTACTTCATCATTTCTTCCATTCGCTTTAGCTACTCTACGTTCAAGAGCAAGTTTCAGAGTCTCTTCTCACATCCATTTTGGTCTTTTCTTTCTTTCCTGTCTTTTTAATGACCTCTTCCTGTCTTCATGGATGATGTCTTTGATGTCATTCCACAACTTATCTGGTCTTTGGTCATTAGTATTTGTGTATAAGATCATATCATCTGCAGATAGAGATACTTTGACTTCTTCCCTACCAATTTGGATGCTCTTTATTTCTTTTTCTAGCCTAATTGCTCTGACTAGGACCTCCAGCACAATGTTGAATAAGAGTGGTGATAAAGGGCATCCTTGTCTGGTTCCTGTTCTCAAGGGGAATGCTTTCAAAGTCTCTCCATTTAGGATGATGTTGGCTGTTGGCTTTGTGTGTGGTCATTAGTATTTAATGAGTCAAATCTATTCTTGAGATGGTCTCTCTCAATTCAGGTGGAATATATTCAAGGTCATACTTTAGCTCTTGTGAACATGTTTTAATTTTTTTCAGCTTCAGCTTGAACTTGTTTATGAAAAATTGATGGTCTGTTCTGCAGTCGGCCCCTGGCCTTGTTCTGAGTGATGATATTGAGCTTCCGTATCGTCTTTCTACGGATGTAGTCAGTTTGATTCCTGTGTGTTCCATCTGGTGGGGTCCATGTGTATAGTCACTGTTTATGTTGTTGAAAAAGATATTTGCAATGAAGTTGTTGGTCTTGCAAAATTCTGTCATGTGATCTCTGGCGTTGTTTCTATCATCAATGCCATATTTTCCAACTACTAATCCTTCTTGTTTCCAACTTTCACGTTCCAATCACCAGTAATTATTAATGCATCTTGATTACATGTTTGATCAATTTCAGACTGCAGAAGTTGGTAAAAATCTTCAGTTTCCTCATCTTTGGCCTTAGTGGTTGGTATGAGGGTACTCCAGCATGAGGGTACTCGCAGGGCCGATGCCGACCCTCACAGGTACCTGGGGGTCCTGCCCATGACTTGGTGTGTGCAGCCCACTGCCC